TATAAATCCAATCCATTATTATTATTATCATAACACTGTGTCCAGGAGCATAATAGTGGTTAAATGTAACTGTGGGTGCTCAAACTCTCAGGATGTTAGCTCGCTCTTTAAATATTAGCTCGTCTGCTGCCAGTTTAACTTCAAGGCTTCAAGAAACTTCCACAAATAGCTGCAATACTGAGAGGTCACAATAAACAAGCTGATATGGAGAATTAAGATATCTGAAATATATCCTTGTCACCACAGCGAGACCTGAAACGTCCAGCTACCTCAGCCTAACCTGTGCTATAAACTCTCAACTACGAAATGAAGATCCACAAAAACTGTTTCAAAATGTTTTCGTGATCTCTGCTGCCATAAGATGCTGCCTCACATTCGCCAAAATGTCTCATTTATTGCCCGTTTACCAGATCAATCACTGATTAATGCACTTATCCCACTTGTCTTCTTCCTCTTGGAGAAGTTTTGTCTCATCAGTGGAAATATTTTAGGTGTCAGTGTCCCTGAAATGATCTAACTGATGTGTCCTGCAGCGGGGGTGATAACATGATTTGGGTCTCCCTTCGGTCTCTTCCAGGAATCATAACGGTTTGATGTGAATAAAAATGATGTTACTCGTATGATATGGCCTTGCCAGTCACTACCACCACCATCAAAAGACCAAAAAGGGAATATCTTTTGGAAGAACAGAGTTTAAAAGATCACTCTAATGTCTGTTTTTTTCCATATTACTAGAATCTGAGGAGCTTATTTTAAACAGTATCGACGATCCGTTATTACCTGATTGATATCGTAATAAATGACTCCAAACTTCCCAAACTGCTCCACTTTCCCAGATATGTCGTCAAACTGATAGAGATCGATGGGCAGCGGCGTCTCGTTGATTACAGCCTGCATGCTGGTGACCCTGAAACTGTTGTCGTAGGTGTAGTCAAAGCGCGCGTTCACCATCCCGTCCTCGCTGAAGCGGAATATTTGCCGGTCGACCAGCGGGCCGATTTGGCGGTACCGGATGGAGCAGATGAAGCCTTCGCTCTGCAGGTTGACAGTCTTAAGCACACCAGCAGTCTCGTCGTATGTGAAGCTGACCCTGGTCGAGTCGTAAAGGATTTCTGCCAGCTTGTTCTGACGAGACAAATGTAAACAAGTGTTACAGTAACGACACGAGCAGGATGTCTGCTGACGTGTGCAGATCACAGCTCATCCAACTGTTTCTTTATGTTAACTTTCAATGACCAAAAGCAACTGTGAAGCTGGAAAGATAACAACAACACTGCTGCGTGCTGTATGTACAGGACAACTGTGCCTTAAACATATACAGACATTTCATCCAGCTGCATAAAGACATGAATACCTGTCTGCGGTATTTGTACAGTATACGCCGGCCAGTGCCTAGATGAGCCACCCTCAGGAGCTAGGAAAGAGAAAGCAGTGAATGATTAGCTTTGCTGTTGTTGGGTGAGGTTGATCACATTCAGTGTGTCTTACTTGCTAAAAACAAAACGCACCTGTCCATCTTCAGAGTAATCCACAGTAACAGACGCGTTGCTTTCTGGTGGCGTGTAGATGTTCCTGTAATAGCCTATGGATCGGATGGTCTGCATGGTGTGTCGAGCCACGCTGGGCATGGTGACTGCTGACAGGCGGTCCACGGAGTCGTAGTCAAAGATGTACTGGTGCTGGCTGTGCAGCAGCAGCACCATGGACTGTTTCAGAGAGAGCAGGAGGACAATTAGAAGCAGAACGCACTGACGGGTAGCGTCCTGTAGTGAGAGGCCACACACGTTATGATTGGATGTCTGAATTACAGTTTCGTATACAGAAAACAAAAGTGGTGCAAATGTTGTAAATGTGGACTAGATTCACATCAGTCCACACTGCA